GCATGTGTCGCTCCATTTGGAGACGTGTATTTTCTGAGAAATGTCTCACTGGCCCATTTTTATCACTGTGCAAACATCATGTACTCACAGAACTAGCACAGCTTATGGGACTGCCACCATATAGATATGATCTGCCATTGACCAAAAAGTGACTCTACAGCACACGATGCACATGCTTGTGTGAGATATCTATACTTTACAAAACAGTGTTGCGTGATCTATCTTCTTATATCTTGCCAAAGTTCTGAAATAAGAATGTCCAGCAATTAATAAGTGTATTTAATATGGTATTTTTCTTTTTCCTCTCTCTTCTAAGGCTATTACTAAATTGATGATGCAGCACACAAAACAAGGTGTCAGAGAATCCAGGAAATACAATATGAACAATTCTAGAATTAATAAAAGCAATGTCAACAATTATTTTTCTTACTAAGGTGGGCAATTCTTCACTTTCTCTGATATTATAAGGTAGCAATGGTTAAATATTCCCATTACACAGGGTAAATTTACCAAATCTATGACCTGAATTATCAGGTTAGTTTCCCTAAGCTAACATCAGAATCAGGCTTCTTTCTGAAGGTGAACTGTTTGCCTCCAGCAAAGCACATTAGAACGAGAGTGCTGAGCCGTAAGCCTCACTCCTCATGTATGACATTCCCACCCTGGGTTTCTTTTGGGTTTTGTTTGTTTGTTTATTTAAGACACGGTCTCACGTGGCAGTCTAGGCTGCCCTAGATTTCGCTGTCCTCCGGCCTCAGTCTCTGGAGTGCTTCAGACCCGTGTCTGCTCGTCACACTCCCACCTGACATTACACGAAATGATGGCACCTTTTACTGCTTCCTCAACCACGTTTCTCCTTGCCAAACTGCAGCTCTGCTTAGATGGGACAACATCCTCATGTCTGCAACATCTACCTGTCATCCTGTCCACTTTCCAAGACTGATGTATCACCTGCCCTAAATTCCTTTGCTCTGACAAGATTTCACCTCCTTAAATTATTAATGATCATTTTTTCTGGTTATCTTTTTGTACAAAGTCTTTTTTCTTACCATTGTACTGAGCTGACCACATTTCAGAAATATATTCTTATTTTCAGGCAATATATTTAAAAGGGCATTTTTAAATTTCCCACTATAAATGATCATTTTAATTCTCACCAATGTCAGCATAATGGGAAAAACGTGAGTAGGAAACAGAAGTAACATCCCTGAGCATGGTCCAGTTGACACCGCTCTGTATCTGCACAGGTTGGACCTAGTAAGACTGCCTACCGGGCTGAAGTTAGACAGTCTGCATGATGGACAAAGGCCATGCGCTCAGACGAAGCTCCTGACATCAGAACTTAACTTTGGATTCTTCAGAACAAAATAGGTCATATTACCTAAAATGCTCAGCCCTCTGAGGTGTGTTTGCTTTTCTGTAAGACACACTTTCTGATACAACCAACTGAATTTTTTCTTTAAGTAAAATACCAGCTTTGATACTGAAATAAAATAGTTCTATTATTTAATTCTAAAAAACTGATAATATGAAAAACAGAATTTATATTAGTGAAAGAATATGCTTTTATCAAAAACAAAAATTGGCATTGATTCTAAACCACATCATCAGCTGTAAATGTCTATTAGTTTGCTTTCTTTAAAAGCTACAAGCTAAGTGAATTTTACATTACTTAAAAAGTATACTCTCATGGAAGGAAAAGGAAGAAAGCTATGGAGCAGTGAATCTCCCCAGAATCTGGTCTTGGTTACCAAGTTTTGGAACACTTCTACCATGATCAATAAAGATGCTAACAGTCACATTTTATAGTATTTTTAGAACATTAATATATTTTATCCAAATCTAAATTGCAGTTTAAATATACTTTAAGATTTATCAAACTAGTCATTTAATAGTTATATTTAATGAATATTTCCTTAATCATAAAGCTAATGCCTGTGCCATTTACCTGAAGTGAAAAAACTGTCCAAAATGTATAAGTATAATCATCATCCTGAAAGTTAATTATCTAAGAAAAGTCATTATAATTTGTGGTACTTCTATGGTTTTGATTCATTTTAGTTATTACATTTTTATATTTGCATTTCCATGGAAATTATGAGTTACTACATACATATTGAAGATATAGCTGTGTAACTGAATTGAGATTAAACCTATTTATTCTAGAATATTTCTAAAATCTTCACTGAGCTGCCATAATTTCTGTCAGCGTATGTAGTACTGAATGACCATTAAAATACCTGAATTGAAACTATTCCAGTCTAGCAGTTTGTAAGATCTTGTGTTACCCATAATTCCGACAAAGGCTGAGTTCAAAACAGCAAATTAGTAGATCAGTTTTAGGTGCAGAATAGTAGAGATAAAACAAAAAACTACAAACAAGACACAATTGACAACACCACTTGACAGGAACTGGAAAGACACAGACAGCAGAGTTAATAAGAAGTAGAAACAGAAAGGAGCATGCTACAGTAATCTAATATTAACTAGTCTAGTTGTTTAAATTACCTTGGTTCTTAAAACCACCCCATTCTTTCCCTTGTTTATGCTCCTGTTTGCTTAATATTTAACAGAAGAGGAAGTTCTAAAAGATAAAAACTCCAAAATAATAATCCGTAGTTATAGCAGGTGGTAGTGGTTTTAAAAGAAAACCTTTTCCTTTTATACTGAGGATGAAAATAAAATGTCCCATATTCACAAGTCAAAAATAGTTGCGAGATTAATTTCAGAGTGCAAACAGCATTTTAACACGGGAACACGCTCAACCCATCATTAATTTTCTCAGTAGAGTAACTCAGTGTTACAAAATTACCACATCATCATTATGGTAGATGCTAATCCAGAGGTTTCATTCTGTGTTAGCATTCAGCTTTTCTCAATTAATTACAGTTTTCTCAAAAAGATATTTGGGTTTGGAGATTAACAAATCTTAGGTAAATTTTACACTTAGGTGTAATTAGGGTTTGGAATTAACAAATCTTAAGTGAATTATACACTTTTCAGTATATAATATACACATAAAACAGTTCAGAAAACGTGATGACACTTTCCATCAAAATAAGATATCAAAGTCACGAGAAATATGTAATTGATGTGGATTTAACTGAAAACAAAGCTAATTAAAATACAAGTCATGCGTCATTAAAAGCATTTGTGTAAATATATATATGTGTGTATGTGTATATATAGACACACACACACACACACACACACATATATATATATATATGCCTGTAACTGTCTGGGAACAGTCCATGAATAACTGAGAATGCCTACATGTGAACTGAAAAACTATCCAGACAGGAGAATGAAAGGAGAAAATTGGTGAGCTGGTAATTACAACACACAAAACAGTCTATATGGGGATTCCTGTTTTCTTCCCTGGCCTGGATCTTTACATTTCTTACACAGCGAGCGTCAACTATCAGGCATGCTCAAGTCCTAAAAGCAGGTTTTTGTAAAAAGAAGTGACATTATAAATACAACTCCCACCTAAACTTCCTAATTGACCTTCTCTTCTTCTCCCAGACTCTATAGCTTACTCAGAGCACGTGGAAACAATAAAATGAATCCAAAATGTTTTCAGTAAACACAAGATATCACCAGCAACTGAACATACTCTGAAACCGTTTTTGAAGGTATCATGCCAGGGGTTGCCAGCCAATAAAACATTTGAGTCAATCACAGAAACACAGGTAACTGGTCTTGAGTCACTATGTTAATGTCAGGTTTCTTTACTCAATATTTCCTTACACTTTGAATTTCTAAACACAAAGATACAGAAGATGATATAGCCTTCAAGGTCTTAATATATTAAACTGACACCAGTCTGGATTCTCCTCTAAGAACCATAAAATAAAAGATCCTAAATTGACCAGAAGATAAGAAATGAGGGAAAACAAAACAAAGGAGAAAAAAACTGGTGCTGTATTTGCTAAGCTTTTGAGTTAACTAACCCTGGACAGCAGGGTTAGTTAGAGTCTCATTCAGAGTCCAGAGAAAAATCCATTCTGCTTCTTGGTTATTAATACATGGAAATCAAACCACAAGCACAGATTAAATATTTTTTAAAAATCTTAAGATTTTTTTAAAAATCTTAAAGATAGTAATGCTCTGTCCTCAAAATCACTACTTGCATGTTTTCTACCAAGTAATTTCAAAGCATTCTAATCTTCATAACTGTCAATATAAGAGGTTACTGGAAGTGACGAATTAAAAATTTAAATATATAGATGTATAGGAACCAAACTATATAAAAATATAACTTCAAGTTTAAGGCTATCATCAAAATATGTAACCTGAGCAAATTTTTAAGTATCTATTCAGTCAATGAGCTTTGCAAAAAGTTCCTACCATTGACCCTGCTGATTTTAGATTTGGAAGTCACCAGTGTACTTCTAATCCAAGGGCTTAAAATTACTGGGACTTGATTCCTATCTTCTTTCATGTCAGTGGCCCAGGCTTTAAAGAAGCAAGCTGCTACCATGACTTGTTTACTCCTATAGAACAAATACTACAGACAAGAAACCAAGGGACCACTTGTTACTTTGTTGGGCTTTTAAAAACTTGTTCACAATTATAATGTAAAAGAATACCTCTTTTAGGAGCACGGAAATCAAGTAATTTATAAAGAGCTGTTTGCTAGTGAAAAGAACAAACATCTTAATTTTGTGGCATAATGGTCAAATTGTAAAAATTTTTATCTCCCTGGATTGAAAGAAACTGCTGACTCACAAATTATTTAAGGATCCTCTCCAAGTGATACCTTAGCCAATAAGAAATCAAGGTCTCTGTGTTTTGCAGAGGAAAATAACTGAAATATGCTTCTATTTAAGATGTTTAACTGAGGTTACTGAAAATATTTTAAAGTAACATGTGCCAGTTTATACTTTCATTTCTCTTTTTAGACAGGTTTGGCTTTAAAAAATTATAAAAATTAACATTAATAATCATAATTTAAATAAGAGAAATCAGCAAAACCAAACTTTTAGGAAACATACCAGGATTGTGGATACGGTCCAAAAGCTTCACAGAGCGTGCACTGACAACACCGCCAACGTGCACAAGAAATCCAGGAGGAAATGCCGTCAAGGTGAAAAATGGAAATTCCTAGTGGACAGAAAGGGAAAAATACAACTGACTGTGTATAACTATGAAAAACCTGCTCCTTGAAAAGCCTGTCATAGGAAATTATTCTACACATGAAATGAAAGGCTACTCATTACACAGTACCCATACTTTATCAGAGCTCCAAACGTATCTTACTCTAGACACAATGTTATACAAAATCCACAGGAGTGTTTCATCAATTCTATTGAGACAAAATGTTAAGAGCTCTAATCTGAGACAGCTGGAACACGCTCTTTCTTCCTGTCAATCCCTACTAGATGCAATTTCTCAGTGAGGGGAGAATGGCCGGCCTCTCTTACCCACATGTACTCCTTGGTATAGAAGCCATCGCACCCACACCCAATACAAGCCATTTATTGGTAAAGACTCCAGAAGCTGGGGCACAACTCTGACACAAAGTGGGACCACAGGAGGGAGTACAAGGAAGAGCAGGTGATCAAGAGAGAAGAAGGGCAAACACCAAGGGGAGGCTGGTGAGGGCACTGCATGGGGCTAGGTACTCTTCTCTGTCAACACCGGGGCAGCAGGAGAAATTCAAGGACATGGAAATACATAGTGAGACAAGGAAGCCACAGAATTCTTCTACCTGCTCTTCCAGGCTTTGTTTTCCCCTTCTCTCTTAAGACATAAAACCTGTCAACTGAAGAGACAAGAAGAACTCAAAGAGAAATGAGAAAGTAAAGAAAAGCAATTCATTGCAATAGCATGCAGGAAGAAAGGGGAACACCTGGGGTTACCCAAACCAACAGACCCTGCATGTGAAATGGATGCAAGGAAGTGGAATTTGCTACCTGTCTGGCTACAAGATTAACGTAGTTCCCTTAACCAGAAGTCCACTTACAAGTACCCTCAACTACTGACTATAACTGAAAGCTGGAAAATAAGTAAATAGACCCCAAAGGTCAAAAACCTAGCAGGACTGCAAATACCAAAGTTCATACATTGTATTCAGAAGACATCTGCACAGAGGATATGCATGTCATGATATATAGTAGTTATAAATATTAATACAGTTCTCAAATTTTTCATTATCTTATTTTCTAGACCAGAACAGATCAAATGCAACAAATAAAAGCTAGGAGCAAAAGAGACACTGCTAGAAACAGGCAGACGTGAAGCAGCAAGATTGCTGAGTGGCTGCTTGAAGCATGGAAAGACAAACAGGAAAGCTTGGTTCTCAGAGCGCAGCGACTAGAATCACCCAGAAAAGTGAGTGTTCTGCCACTGCAGGCCCTCGAGGGCAGAGCACAAGCATGTGTGTTGCTGTGCGGCGCACACACACACACACACACACACACACACACACACACGGTTAAAATAAGCTCAGTTAAATTTAGAAGTAATTTTAAAGTGGCAAGGGCAAGAAAGATCTATGTAAGAAAAGAGTAAAACACTAGTGTTGGCCCAGCTGAGAAGTAGCAAACGGAACAGAGAAGGAAGAGGATGTAAGGGAAATACCTAACTTAAACATATTAAAAATATTTCATCAAAATGTACTCATATTTCCACCCAAACTTTCTAAATGTATGTTTCAAAAGAGAAATGTTTACATTATTAAAAATGGGAGACCTAATAAGTGGGGTCTTTAAGTTTACTTTATTTTCTTGTTTGTTTGTTTGCAGTACTGGGGTTTGAACTCAGGGCCTCACACTTGCTAGGCAGGCACACTACGCCTTGAGCCATGACTCCAGCCCAAGAAGTTTTGTTTCTCGATTTTAGGAAGACTTTGAATTCGAAATCTTCCTCATAGTGTCTGAGGCATGTGGTGGTCCCATAGAATAAAAAATACTTTACGTTTCACATCTGTATTTGAGTCTTTGAAATATTTAGACAGAGACAATGAATAAACAGCAATGGCTGCCCCAAGAGACAAAGGCTCACTCTGCTGACTGAGACTCCCTTGCACGTCCCCAGATCACCTATATAGCACACCAATTCACTTTAAAACACAAAATTTACCTACAATAGACAAAAATGTCACTGCTACTTAAGCAAGACTTCATCTTTGTAGTACTGTCTGCTGCTACGGACAATGGGATGCTAAGTCCCCCTCATGTGTGCATTTTTGTCTCCCCTGAGAACATCCCAAGCACACCTTGCTCTCCATGTCTGGATGTGAACGTAGGAACTGTGGGAGGCATTTCTCTAAAACGCCTTACACTGGAAGGATCCTTCCCTGGATGGGCTTTACTTGTGCATGCTTGACATAAGCCAAACACATGAAGCATGAAAATATTTAATGTGTGTCCTTAAAGACGGCGTAATGAAAACATAATACAGTATACAGGAAGCTTTATTTTCAAGAGATGTAAGTAGGATTTTTAAGGCATTTTAAATAGTTTCATTTCCAAATGAAACACTCTATTATCCTGAGAATATAAACAAACTGCATGCCAAATTCCTGCAATGATTTATTGTAAACCTCTGACCTACTTCTAAAAAGATCATAATCACCAAGAGTTTGCTTTTTTGTCAGTGTTTCCTGAAGTATGTTCCTCATGAGCAAGTGTTTCAGAGGGAAGGTACAATATACTTGGGAAATACTAGGCTAAATCAAGCTTACTAGGCTTCCTTTTTTCGTGACGGTGCTGGGGTTTGAACTCAGGGCTTCACACTTGCCAGGGCAGGTGTTCTACTGTGTGACCCAGCCCTATGAGGTTTCTTTACTGAAGAAAAGCACACACTCCAGAATCTGAAAAGTAACTTAATTTTTCTTTTCTGAACTTTAAAACTTTCAAAGCTATTTCTCATTTCATCTCCCAATCATCTGGCACCTATTAGCAAGAACATGTGGATTTATTTCTTAATGCTTCTGTGAAAGAGGAAAAAAAAATAACACTTTTACTTGCTAACTTGAATAATCCATTGAATAAGAGTTTAGACAATTAAAAGTTTCTCTTTCCTCAAAGGAAACACACACACACACAATTTATTTACAGTGGTTTAACCAAGGATAGAAATGAGTATTTATAAAACACATATATTAAAAATGACAAAAGTAGCTAGTGTCAGTGACATGATCAGTGTTGGGGTTGGCAGCATTAGGGCAGATCCTACCCACATGGGAAGAACTTTTCCTGAACAAAGCTGAATGGAAAAGCAAAGGTTACAATACCTTCGCTATCTGTTATGAATACAGGACACAGAAGTAGTGTCACAAACTCAAGTAACTGCTACTGCACGGACAGCTGACGTAGGCCTTTGACGTAAGAGTAACAAACCCAGGTTTACAAAATTACAAATGAAAAATATCTCTCGTGACACTTTTGCTTTTAATTCCATGAAGAATGCCTTGTAATGCATGTCCAATGTGCCAATAGAGCTGAGATTTGGGGGGATTTTTTGTTGTTTGGTTTTAGGTAGTACTGGGGCTTGAACTAAGGGTCTTGGGCTGGCTAGGAAGGTGCTCTACCACTTCAGCCCTTCCAGGATTTTAAGAATGTTTAAAAGCATATTTGAGAGCACAAATTTCTAATAAAGTCAATCAAACATAATTTTCATTAATTTTTTTTCTATGAAGTAAAATGGGTTTAAAGGTCCTTAGTACAGACTGTAAAGTCACAGGAACATCACACAGCTAAAATTCCATTATGTTCGACTTCCAGTCACGTCTAGTTTTCCTGTTGATGTGAATTCTAGAATGGTAATTAGGGCACAGGAAATCATATTCCTAATGTGAGGGACTCTGCTGAGAACACAGAAACAAGAGTGACATATCAGAGCCTTCACTCTGGTTTAAAACATGATAAAGGAACACACGTGCCCTTCCCTGACCTTCTTCTCACCCATGTTTTTGGTCCTTGACTATTTTTGGTTTAACAGATAGGAGCCATTTAGGGTTAAGACTAGGTATGCTCACAGTGTGAAAGTGTAGCTGAAAGGTGCTCAACAGGACATAAAACAAAAAGCAAGGTACAGCCTGTTGATGGCCCTGCCTGCATCAGCTCTGCTCTCTACAGCCTTGTCTAAAAGGTAAACAGTGCACACATTGCTACTGGCAGCATAAGGAAAAGAAACCAAGGAAAATAAATTGTATTAATTGTACTAATAAATCTTTAAAAAAAAAAAAAACTGTTCTCAAGAGCCAAACTCAAGAAAAGAAATATCTTTGCTTTATAAAAATACATCCTTTGGGTCTGGGGTTTTTTTGTTTGTTTTTGGTTTTTTTTTTTTTTTTGGCAGTACTGGTGTTAAATGCTGGCCTCACATTCTAACACTGAGCCACATTCCCAGCCTCACCTCCCCTTTCTTTGCTTTACTTGTTTTTCAGATAGTGTGGCATTTTTTTGCCCATGGCTGGCCTCATGCTGAGACTTTCCTACCTATGGACTCCAGCCATGTAGCTGGGATTTCAGGTGTGTCACTATGCCCAGCCAAAATGTATCCTTTATATTTTAAATACAAACATACTTAAAATTTCACCTTTTCTCCCCTCCCAAATGTTGGTGCAAAAACAGAACATACTAAAATTCTCTAAATGCTTATAGCTTTCAAATCAGACACAAGGAAAGGTATAGAATTATATCTTAAAATAAATGTCAGGACACATAAAACCATGCACTGTATTAGCAGAAAAAACAAAACACGAGCCTCATAGTGCTGTTAAAGTAAAAACATTGCATTGTGAAAGTACAAAAGCTGGCAACATTTTTTCAAAGCTTAAATAAAACTTAAATGGCCAAGATTAAAACTACAAAAGCTTCTAATACAAAAAATACTCTCACACAGGTTTAGAAACATACCCGCCTTCTACAGAACCTATGAGGTGATCCTCCCTTAGCAATGAAGTTAAAAAAAAGAAAGAAAGAAAGAAAAATCATCCAAAACTATAACCACTCAGTTTCCCATGCAAGATGTAACTACATGTTAGCCATATAATTAAAACAGATGCATTACATAAAGAACCACACTATTTAATATGTAGAGTACAGAATATGTGCATTTCTTATGTGTAAGAGAATGGCACTGACAAAAATAACCTCTGTAAATAAATACATTGATATATTGAAGAATTGTTTTTAATATAATAAAATGTTACTTGTATTTTTCCTGCAAAAATATTAATCATTTTCTTCTTCATAACTTTAATAAAAAAATTTTAAGTGATGCCAGCATTCAATGGGTATTTCCAAAAAGAACAACTCTCATAAAATATTAGAGGATAAAACAAAAACAGAGAATTAGTCCAAGCCAAAAGTAAATATTCATGAACAAATTACTTTGGTATCTTCAATGCATCTTGGACTTCAAAACTGCAATATTCCAGATAGGAACAAAATCAATTTATGAAGGCAGCTAAATACTCAGAAGAATAGACCATAAAGTCACATTAAGTGCATAAGAACAAAGAATGTCAAGCGAATCTTACCCTCTGTTCCAACGCCGACTGAGTCTGTTGTCTTAAGAGAGCTTTAAATGGCCCTCCTTCTTTTCCAGCACTACCACTTCCCATTCCTACAGAATACAGCACATAAATAACAACCAAAACAAAACTATTGGAACAGTTTACTTGCATTCATCTTCATAAATAGCATGAGTCAGCATGTGATAAAGTAATTCACACACTAACATAGTTGAGATGGCAATGAAAGAACATATTTTACACTAATATATTAGTATTCTTCAGAAGCAATGTCAAAGTTCTACTGATCACAGTTAGCTTTAGAATCAATTTGTTCTAAGAATTGTAAGAAAAATTATGGTAAAATAATGAATCTTTGTATAACATTGCATTTTAAAATGTTAAGCTTAATCAAAATAGCTATTATTATACTAAGTCTAAGAACACTAACAGAAATGAGAAATATTAAATGTTTCATTGAAAGTAAATATAAAAAAAAGCCCTGACTGTGCTCACTTAAAAATCCCAAAATTCTTTAAAGAGCATGAAATTTGGAATATAATTTTGAAACATACTAGATTTATTTTCTGATAACTTCCAATTTTTAAACATAACATCATGACAAAAGCAGTATTAATTTCATACTTGTGAGCACTCATTAACCAACAAAAAAATTTAAAAAAAACTAAAAATCACAGAAATAACAGACACATCACAAATGTACATAATTATGGATGAAAGCATTATAGTTCCCATGCTCTTAGATGTATTTTAAGACTTAATTTTTAAATTTCCCTATCTTGTTCTATTGTTTTTGATAGTATCCCTAGACCAACTATGACCAAGAATTATAGAAAACAGGAATGGGTAAGAAACCAGTGTTCTACAAACTAGAATGAATCCCACCCATCCAACACTGAAAGTGCATACAGACAAGTTTCTACAATGACTTAAAAAGGAACTAATTTAACTTTAAATTTTTAGCTGTTCTTGGATAAGGAAACAAATGTTAGCATGTGTATAGTCCCATTCTATTCTTTAAAAAAGACAATTTTCTTATAGTAATTAAGTGTTATTTTGGAGACTATACAATGCTAAACAGAAATAAAACTAGGATCTTTAGATGAAGCAGTTTAAAAGCCACAAAATAAAATGTGAATTTGTAGTGAGAAGTAAAAAAAACCAGAAAATACACCAGAATAATCTGATTAATGCAGTGGACAGAAAAAAAAATGGATAATCAAAGAATACCATCAAAATGAGACTTAAACTGATTCAAACAGAGTAATTTGCTTCACAACAAGATGGTACAGGTCTAATGTGAATGGAGTTGGTATAAAGGGAAAGAAAGTCAGGTATCTAAAACAGAAACACTAGTAATAGGAACCTGCATAATTACTGAAAATATCCAAATCTATGTCCTTAGACATATTAGATATTTTAATATATAAAACAAGTTAATAAATATTCATATGTATCCATCAAGTAATGCTCAGTTACATCTGTATGATATATGTTTAACTCTCTCTACCAGCAAGAAAATTAATAGAAATACATTCTTTGTAAAATATGCAGTATTTCTTTATAGTGTAAAATTATTATTATTTTTTCTAAGATGACTTAAAATAAAGGGATTAAAAAGCTGACGTAATGTGATCCTACCAGCAGCCGCCAGGAACAGCTCTTCACTGAAAGAAACACTTTTCCTCAGAACGGGGCTGACAAGGCTAGAATGATGAGGGCTAAGGCTAGATTCCGGGAGGAGGAGACAGGACTTTTTAAGGTGAAGGGAACCACAAGAAAGAAGGGGGGAGCTGGGACACAGGTGCTGTGGGTAAGGTGCTGTGGAGGAAAGTAGCAAAGATGCAGTTCAGAAGATGATCAGAAAATGCAGGTAAGGAATGCAATGATGAAGCAAACATAACAGCAAAATGAACTGTAAATGTACAGACAAATTACACTAAGCATATGAAAGTCACCAGCAAGACCATCCATCAAGCATAATGCAAACCGAAGGCTTTGCCTAAAACTTGACAAAAACCTTGCAAACTCGGTAATCATTAAAATTTCTTAAATCACTGATTTCTTACATCCTATGCCATTTTAATCATTTGTAAATGACTTCAAAATATTGAAATTATCTCCCTTTTTCTGCTTAGTAATTTTAAGGTTGAAATGTACCACATTTTAAAGTGTTACAGCCTGGAACTCATTGCCTCAAATACAAATTCTTATTTAAAGAGATAAAGTACTGAACTGCCAAACATTACCAGCTAAAAGACCCTATATTGGTATTTTGACTGAATGCAAGTTTTTTAAAAAACTAAATTAATTAGGTAGACAGTTTTCATTATTAATTTAATGTAATAATAACTTCTGTGTGTCCATGTTTGAGAAATGTCAGTATTTTCTTTTTCCTCTAAGATTCTTCATACTTAATCTTATCAAATGCTGTTTACAAGCAGATATTTGAGCACAGGGTGACATACACTCTGGATCACAAAAGCTACATATAACTACAGCTTAACTAAAAAACAAAAATTGAGCTCAAGTGTCAAATCACTACCACAAAACTAATATTCAAAACTCTCACTCCTATTAGTTTAGTACTTGGAAAAAAATGTCAAAAATTAGAAGCTACAGAAATGGGAAATATTTTAACAGCAAACCCACCAGAAAAACAGGCGATAGCATTAACTATAAGCAGAAAAAAAGAACATTCTCAGGCTAAGTTTTATTACCTTTACTGTATTTTTGACCTCCCAATTTGTAAATGATGAATTAATTAAAACAGACCTATCTCACCCCACAACTATCAGGATGCTGACTTTGCACGTGGGTAAATCGGGAGGCAGAGAATCATGACATACATGCTGAATCACAGTTTCAGAACATTTTAAAACTTAATTTTGCCATTTTATATCTCCATATAAAGTAGGAATGTTCCTCAGGATTGTTCAAAGATCTATCTAATGACTCATGATAAGGCCAAAATGCTAATATCCTATAAGAAGCTACTGAGGGGGTAAATAAACTATAGTCAAACAAATTAATGTATTTAGAAGAAGCTTCTAAATAAAAATGTGAGAATAATAATAATCATTTGTAAATGAATTTGCAAGACTGATAATATGAAAAAATTCATTACTAATACAATTGATTGTCTATAGAGGGGTAAGGGATGAGAGGTCTGGGTTCATTGTTTATTACTTGACAATCTTCTTTCAGGTTAGCCTTTTTGGTGAATTAAGAAACAGAAACACTAAGGAAAGACTTTCAAAACTTTATCTGCAGTATGGCAAAAAAAAAAAAAAATGATAAGAGTACTGAAGGGCTTGAGGGTGGCTCAAATGGTAGAGTACTTGCCTTGCAAGCTTAAAGCCCTGAGTTCAAAGCCCAGTACATTCAAAAGAGAAAAAACAGAGATATACAGAATACTGAAAAGTGACCTGGCACAGTCAGTGGACTAATGCCTCAAAAGAAAAAAACTGCATGTGTTTAGTTAAGTCCCAATGCAGAACCCACAAATATGGAGGGCTGATTATATACGTAAAAATAAAGTTATACACAATTCATAATTCATAATTATCTTCCTTACATTTTGTGACTACATTTTATAGAGACTAGAAATTAAACCTAGAGGCCTTTTAAATGCCCCTTCTCTAGAACTAGCACTGGTTTGGTATTACATTTTTTTTTTCACTGCTTTCACAAAATCTGGAATCACTTCCTAAATTTCTTTTCTAATGCTAAAATAAAATAACACTAAAGTTTATTAAGGATGTGAAACTGAAATTAGCATGAATAGGAACTATGCTTTACTCACACTACTGGCAAAATTGGCATATAAAATACAGTTAAAATACTGTCAATCATAAACTCTAAAATTTTTATTTTTTTAACTTTTCCCAAAAATAACAATTCAATGATTTAAATAAGTTAATTCTATTTCAGGACATAAGAAACTTATTTAATCTTTTATCAACTTTTTATAAAACAGATTCATAAAAAACTAGAGATTATTCAAATAGGAAAGGGGAAAAATCAGAAATTAAATAAACAGAAATATTCGATAATAAATAAAGTAAAAATGCTGTTTTCTAACCCAGATAGTTAAGACTAGCAAAACCAAAAAGTATGTTAATAAGTAGTTATCATTATTCCCCTCTCCTCCCTGCCAGGGCTTCCCAAGTGCCAAGCGGGCGCTCTACCACTGAGCTCAACTTTCAGTCCAACAAACAGATGACCAGATTATCTGTGCGCCAATGTAACCATTTCAGTTCTGAACACTCTTTTTCATAATAAATTTCTAAAACTAAATTCTGAAATAGACAGAAACAAGGAATTAAATAATGCTTATATTTCAAGGACTCTGACTGCAAGCTCCTAGAGTTACTTTTTATTCAAATACTTTAAGATGTTATTCCTCTAAATCTGAGCGTGAAATGAAAAATGTCAACACACAAAAATAAAATTTGGATTTGATATCAATGATTATTAAATTAATTATGTCAATCTCTAGACAAGATAATTTCTAAACAATAAAAAAAATTTCAAGTTAGTTGTAGTGACTGAAAAGATTCGTATATACATTATTATCTCAACTTAAATGCAAAAACAGAAAGGAAAATCTGGATGAAAAGCTAATAAAAAACAGAAACAAATTTTAAAAAAAGGAAAAACAGGAATGTGGGTGGAAGGCCTTACCAGTTTTGGGTGTCAAACTCAAGTCTGTGTCAGAAGAGGAGGACTGCCGACTGTACGACTTGGAAGGTGAAAAGGAATAAGTTTGGTTTTTCAGAGGGGTTGAGGGTCCTGATGAGTGAGGATTGGGGTTGGGGTCTTCACTGAAGGGAATCCTGCCAGAAGAAGGTGGAGAGACATTAAGCCATCATGTGCCGAGGGGCGTGGCAGCGGGCAGCACCGTCCAAGCACCAGGAAAGAAGTGGGGCGGCCACAGCCATTGCTTAGTGTGGAGCTGGGAGTGAGGCCAGACAACCAACTGCTGCTCACCCATTCTCCATTCTCCAGACAAAAATTATCTGCATTGAAACAGTTAATAAGCCAAGTGAAAAAGCAAAAAAGCATGAAATGAAAGACGAAAGGGTAAAAAATATTAAAAGGAGAAATAAACAAAAAGAATAAATACATGACAAAGTATTTAAATAAATTTTTTAAGTTACAAAAGAAAAATGATGGTCACAAATGGTGTGTGGAAATACATTAAATTGTTTTCATATTTGCACACACACAGGTATTTCAAAAGAAAAAAGTGTTTCCTTATCCTATAGCATCAAGAGTGCCACAGCTAAAAACTCAGCAAAGAGGGAAATAAGTTTAGCTGCACAGAAACATTGCATTTAATGCAAAATAACTGCTTACCTGTTTCCCAACAACTCTCTTCCACAGAACGAAACAGACTCTACTGTTTCAAAACCCTACAGGTTTTATATATGAACAAAATAAGCAAATTTGAGGCTTTGGCATCTATTTCATTTAGAATCTTATCAATTTTATTTCTGAACAAATATAAGAAACGGCCACAACAACACACTGGCGGACTCTCCTTCAAATCAGGGCACACATGTATGTAAAAGACAGGGTTATGAGAGGACTGTGGAAGAGATATCGGGAGCTGGATGGACATCTTCCATTCACATACTTTGAGCCTCTGTGGTGGCTAAATACAGTTCTTCACTGTGGCTGGACCTCGAGTAAGAAAAGGAGAGAGCAAAGGCTTGGGGTACCTGCCTATGCTGCCTGCCTGCCTGCTCTGCAGCCACTCTGCCCGTGGCCTGCCTCTCTCCCCAGCTCTGGAGTCTGAGCAGTCTCGTACCAGTGTAGATGAGAGTGGGAACAGACACAGAGAAGTTCTGAGTAAGTCGTGAGCCAGTAGCAGTGTGAATTGGGCTGTTGTGAGTCGAGCGGCATCCATGGCTTGCAGGATGGACCAGCGGAGACCTGAAGGAATTTGTGATCAAAGTGGAAGAAAAGAAAACAATACATACAACAGATTGCAAAGTTACATTAAAAGAACCTCGAAGGAGTTTTAGTTAAGGGAGACAGCTTATTTTTTAATCCCTAGCATGCAAAAAGTAAGGTGAAATTCAAGAAGAATAGCCATGTATTAATTTGTTAGGGTATAGTTACAGTCTCAAGGATAAGATTAATAAATTAGAACTAAGGATAAGAAAAATAGCAAGCCTAATAGCCAATGGAATTAAATAAGAAAAAATACTGAGATCTAGATTTTTAAGTTACTTTAATATACTGCTTGTTTATGGGTATTTGCTCCATAAATACTGTGTAAGTTCTATACTTACATTGCACTGTATATATAATGAATCTATACAGTGAAAAGTCAAATATAAAGTTCTCATATTATCTTTGAAACTGAGGTATGAATTGCTAATATAAGTAATTATAATTTCGTATGAAGAAAATTGAACAACTATCTAGATTTCAAGATGGGGTATTTACAATTATGAAAAATGATAGCATAACAAGTGACTGAACTGAACAGACATAAACAGATGTACATATTCCAGTATTTTAACATACCAAATATGTAGTTAAAAACCAGACTACACTGGAAATAAAATACACTCATAAAGCAGTGTAAATAATTGGCTAGCTCTTATACAGAATGTGTTACACGTACTGAATGCTGAATTGAAAGTTTTTGTAAGATTCCAACTTAAATCCTGCAGTAGATAAGACCTCCATGTGTGAAGACACATTCAGACATGCAAATGTATATTCTTATATAACATTCAAACTTTTCAAGAAGAAATTTGGTTAAAAGAATTGCATCAAATGGTATAAAAAGGTATATTACATAAATAAGAATCCTAGACTTCACATTAACAATTATCTCATTGTGCAATGCCTTTGCTTAGCACAATAGGGGTGGTGATATGTATAAACTATAATATACCCATATTGCAGAATTCAAATTAAAGACAGGCTGGAGCCCACCTTCTCCTGATCTTTTATTAACTGCCCAGAGAATACTCCCACAATTGGTCAAGGTTCATGAGGTATCACTAATTGGCCATGCCCATGAAATTTTTTCCTAGGGCCTATTGACTGCTTTCTGAAAATACTACTGACGTACAACAGGACAAATGTTTCTGCTCTGTTGCTCATATAAAATAAAAACATGTTCAGCATAACTGATAAAAGTCAAACACCTTAGGTAACCTAGTTTTACACAATCAACTGAGTGAGGTTTTGTTTTCCTTTTTTATCTTCTGCTAAAGTAAGAAAAAGTCTAAAAATATTTAGACTTGAAAGGTCTAAGAAGCAGTACTGTGCACAGCAGAAATTACATCTAATGCTCTTGGTAAGCATTTTAAAGTAGAGACATGATAAATCCCACTTAATGCACTTTTACCACTGGGAGAGTTCTGCTAGGAAGCATCAGGGGAGTTCCACTGTGCATTAAGCATCTAAAAGGAAAAAAGAACCTTACCAAGCAGAGCACAACATAAATACAGGTAAAATAAAATGAATATTGTAAAATGTTCAAATTATGACATTAAACAAAAATCCAAATGCAGCGGAGCACTACCATAATGTTTTCTTGGAATCTACATTCTACCAGCCTCTTTGCATGAAAACAGTAACACAACTGTCTCACAATATCACCCTTCTGATATTTCCAGTACTAAATCCAGTCCATCCAATCTAGTACCTAATCCATCCAGGTAATCCGTTTAATCCAATCTATACTACCATTTCTCCAATTCCTATCTAAAATCAACATTACATAATTATTAAACATTAGAATAGTTATAATCAGCCAAGTCATAAACTAAATTTTGGAATATCCCTCTTACTAATTCATTATCAAAAAGACAATGAAGCTAGTTGAAATAAAGTAGCCTGAGTACCAAGGGTTTTCATAGATGACCTATGTAGTAAGATGCCTTTCAGAAAATCCTAATGAAGCAACATAGTACTTCATTGTAAGAAAGCTTCACAGTTTAAAGCAAAAAGCTGCGACAAAAGAATAAGAGAAGAAAACTTACACAATCCCTTCCTGAATGCACGTGAACCCTAACACCCTGGAATTCGTATCTCAGTCTAAAGCAGCAACAGGTAACACAGCTTTTCCTTTCTACTAAGTAAAGACAACATTCAGACATCGTAGCTGCAAAAGCCTGCCTCTTCAAGGCAGTGTCAGTGAGACAAGAGGGTGGCAAGTGGAGAGACCCAAGTTTGTTTTGTTTGTTTATATATTTGTTTTTGTGACAAGAGCTCACCAAGTCTCCCAGGCTGGACTTAAACTCCAGCTCCTCCTGCCTCAGGTTCCCAAGTGCTAGAACAACACACATATACCACCACAGCTGGCTGTAAAATGCAGATTTCTAATCAAATTTGGTATGGAAATGGGAGAAAAAATCTGAATCCTTCAAAAAATTACACCTGCCTCTCAGCTGGTAATTCATAATTTCCTAGGGCATATTTCCAAAGGACTATAAAGCAAATCCACTTATAATTTATTTTTTAAAATCACTCACTTGTAAATGTGTTTCCAAATAAAATTAGGCAATAAGCAACACTGTACTTCTTCTTGTACATAAAATTTCATCCAAATAACTAACAGCAAGCAGAAAGGAAATGTTTAACAGAAAGAATAGGCTTAAAAGGAAAATTTCATTTAGAAAAATACCCCTCAAAATTTCTTTTAATGGCTATCACTTTTTCACTAACTTCTGACTGTTGCTGAACTAGAAAGTATTTCAGGCTCTTTAACTAGAAAATTCTAACCCCACCCTCATGATCTAGAACAGATGGCAGCAATCTACAGCTATAGACCAAATCCATGTGCCATCTGCTCTGTAAATAAAGTTTTATTGGAACACAGCCACACTTGTAGTTTGTATACTTGTCTATGACTGCACTCACATGACAATGGCTCACATGACAATGGCAAAGATTATGCAGTATCAGCAAAAATTACATCACAGACCCCATCTCAATGGAAAAACAGCTGGGCATAGTGGTGTGCCCCTGTCATCCCAGTTATGGCAGGAAGCATTGAGTCTAGGCCAGCCAGGGAAAAAAGTGGAATAGTATGTCCAAAATAACCAGAGCAAAAACAAACAAAAAGGCTGGAGGTGCAGCTCAAGTGGTAGACCACCTTCCTAGCAGAATGAAGCCCTGAGTTCAAACCCTAGACTACTGGGGAAAAAATAAAGCTCAACCTGCAACTCCACCCATACTGAGAATCTCTGCTTAGACACAAATGATATGCAGGCCAAATCCACTAACAGAAGTGTTCTGCTGGATCACACCAGACTTTTTTAAAAAATGTGCAAATCTAAATTAGTTCTTCTGAAGGCATATGGGCTTTTGTTGTTTAGTTTGGTTCATTTTTGTTTGTTTTGGTAAATAAGTACAGAGATTAATGTGGCCATTGCCTGAAAAACTTACTACCTGGCCTTTCAAAGAAAAGTTTGCCAAGCCAGGTGCAATGATGTGTGCCTGAAGTCTCAGCCCCTTGAGACGCTCAGGAGGATCACTGAGCTCAGGAGTTCCAGGCCAGCTGGAGCAACAAAGCGAGACCCTGCCTCAAAACAAGAAAAAAAAAAAGGAGAGACAGGGGACTGAGGGAGGAAAGGAGACAGGGAGAGAGGAAGGTCAACTGCCTTGGCTTTCCAAAGGATTAAATATTCCTATTTAATTACACCCAATTATTTTATTTTCATAAACTGCCTGGTCTTGGTAGACATTTGAGTTTGAGACTCACACAAGTCTGTCATTGCTCCTCCATACATTCTACCAATAATAAACACAACTGCATTATCACACACAGGGTTTTAAGCATTCCTAGAAAATAACTAAAATGCACAGTGCACGAATATTCATTTTATGCTGTAGATATATAATATCTAAAGATCTGGACTAGTTTAATATTATATTACTTAATTTGCATTTCATATTAAGAAAATACAAATAAAAAATACATCTAAATATTTTTAAGTTTTAAATATTGGCAGTAATTTGATAGCAAAAATCACAGAAAGAAAAAAAAACATATGTTGAACACTGCCACTGAAAAGCTGTAAATCAAATGAAAATGTACAGGGAAGAGGTAGCAATATGCAAAAGAACAACTTTCCTAGCTCATACTTACTCCTTCATTTCTTTGGATGGGGAACTGCATGCGGGAAGGAATGCTGCTGGGCTGCTTAGTTTATCCAGAGTGCATGCTGTCCCGATGGCTCGCACCACCAGCCCAGACTCGCCCTCCAGGTCAAAGCACTGCAGGTACCCCACAACCGCATTGCCCCTCATTTCAAGTACTTTCAAGCCAATCTTCCTCTGCAGTTCACCTACACAAAAAAGAAAACTTATTCTTTGTCTCTTGTTTCCACATACTACAAAGCTGGATATGGCAGTGATCAAAAGACAGTTTTAAAAATCTTGGATTTTTACAGTTTAATTGGAATTTAAAGGATTATGCGTCCAGCCTCCTGCTTTCAGGGAGTGAGGTCACCAGCTGCATTTCATTATGTGGCAAGTAAGGCTAGCACACCATATACCCCATTTACCTCTGACAACAAACACTGTGGTTCTACCACATACATATGAAGTGCTGGAAACACATGGGTGACCAAGAAAGACACAGCTCTAATCTAAGTCTACACACTGGTGGGATACAAAGACGATAAAACAAGAAACTTAATAAATACTGCACACAGAGGGAATATGTACATGTAATATAATACATAGAATTCTGATATACTATTATAATGTAAACATATATATTGTATGACACAGCACAAATATGAAAATACAGATCTAATACATATTTAGTAAACATAACATATTTCTACTTGTTTGTGTATGTGACTTGTTTGTGTTACATGACTGTATATTCACACATATACACAAATTCAAATTTTAGGTGGTAAATAAATTCCCTAAAGAAAAATTTTGAAAGACGATGGGGCAAGAACAGCAAGGAAAGTGGCAGGAGAGGCAGTTCTCAGGAAAGAATTTTGCAAAAGTAACGCATGCACCGAATGTTAGCGAGAGCTAAGTGGTTCTGACAACAAACACCAGAGAGGATGACCAGGACAATTTCTGCTCAGGGATCTTTACTGACCTCGTCACTCAGGCTCTCCTCATACAGCACTTTGTGAACATGTCCTGCACTATCTAGTGAAAAAGGAAACTCTAGCTTTGGATTTGTATTTCCTCTTGGTTACAGTATTGAGCTAGATGAGCAGGGGTGGGGAATCTATACTTCACAGCCTTCACTGTAAAATTCCAAGTAGCATATCAAAAGAAAATAAACATTTTAGAGTGTTAAGTGATAATGAAAGTACTTTATTTAAATACCTGACATTAAAGAAATGAGTCTCTGTCTGGCCTCATTTGATGCCCTGGGTGTCCGAATTCGATCAATCCATTGATATTCTGGGTCTTCATTGACCACAAGTTCTTCTACAAATCCATGAATTATTACAGCTCTATAGCACTTTGGAATAGATGTTGCTATTAAAACAAATTATCTATTATGCTTCTGCTTATTGCAAGATAGAATTCAATTTTTAAAAAATGTATATCTAAGTTCTTACCTTTTGGATACATAATACAATAACATCTTTTACTGTGATAAACTCAATGTAATTGTAATACATCTATCAAAGTCTTCTAAGATTCATTTTATCCTTACAAATAATTTTCTTTTATGAGGCCTCTCACTTTTCTATGTAAGCATAGTAAATCGTATTTTTTATAATTAAGGAAAATAGATATACACCTTAAATAGCATTCAATACAAAGCTTAAAAAATCAAAATTAAAATATCACATAATTCCCCATAAATGTGTACACTTTTTACACTTTTATGTGTCAGTTAAGTAACAAATTTAAGTTAAAAAATCAAAATTAAAGTCAGCCAACTAATTATTACATAATAAAAAGCAATACTAACTTTTAAAATCTGTAATTATTCAAAGCCCTTTGAAAAGTTCTTCTGCCCACCACATACTGCATCTCAGAAGAAAGACCACCACTTTTTCACAGAAGCTGGAGTCACACAGGTCTTAGTCTCTACTGAACTGGCCATGCAGCCAACAGGTCTGACAGACCCATTTTGCTCACTTAAGACTCACTTCAATCAAAATGTCACTGGATTTAAATGAACTGGGCAGATTTAAACAGGAGAGAACTTGAGAAGATCTACGCCAGACCACCTTCTAACACCCAAGGCTACATGCACTGAAGACAGCTTTACTACTCAGGATTTTCAACTCTACTGATGCAGGTCAGCCGTCAACTGCCCAAATCTGCCCAACTCACACCCACATATCCCAGAGTTCTGTACAAGTCTATGCATTACAGGGCAGTACCACAGAGCTTGGTTACAATGTTCTGTTCCTGTCTTTCAGTGCCCAATATTACAGTAAAATACCACTGGATGTTTCTAACAAAAATTAGTCATCACTGACTGTCAAATCAAGTAAGTAGCACAGAAAACAGTAACTGTTTCTAAAACACTAAAAATTTTCTCTTTGGCTTTGAAACCAAAGCATAATACTTTTTTATTAATCTTTTGAAATAGTAATTTGGTTTTCTATATTTCCTACTAAGTAAGACACTGCATTTACTTACTGCAAAAAAATTTGACTCCACAAGATGACTGTCTAAATCGATTCAAATCATTGAAGAGGTCTACTTTGACAACTACATTGATCTCTCCACGGATACCTACATATTCAAAAGGAAGAATCAAATGTTACCTTAAGAAAATAACATACTATTAAATAATAAAGCAAAGAGATGACAATTAATGATTTTAAAATAATGTAACAATTGCAACAGTAATATAAACTTTGTTTCCTCATTACATATTCTGAAGCAGAACATGGATGCACTGGGGAAGTACAGCCTCCGCTTATCTGGCCAAAACAACTGGAAAGGAGTTCCATTTAAATCGATGATGACATCGATGGTAGTGGACTGACAAGACAATGTACTAAACACACTGTGCAGTACCTCACTGTGAGCACATCAACCAAGAAGGTAAATTCTGGTAGAACATGTGACAGGATGCTTCTCCTTGGATAGTTTCTTTTCTGGATTATAATTGCTTTTCTACCTTGATTTTTTTTCTTTGCCTTTTTCATTGTTTTCTATAGTGTACACGTATTATCTCTGTACTCAGGAAATAAAATTCAGTCAAATGTTATGTTACCAATTTTATAAAAATGTACTGCCAGGGTCAGTGGCACAAGTTTATGTTCCAGCTCCTCAGGAGATGTAGGCAGGCACCTGAGGCCAGCCTGGAAGAGATGGTGACATCCTTGCTCAGAAAGGAAATAGCAACAGTAAAAAAGATGCTGGAGCACTCAGCTGGGTGTAGGGTAAAGGCAAGGAGTAGCTATGTGGATAAAAGGGTTTCCCATCATTTATACTAACATTGTTTACACTTAGTTTAATGTGTCTATGGGGGGTCTCTGTTAGAAATATGCTCTCTTGTTATTTCAGTAGATGAATTAGTAAATCACTTTCTTAGAAGCTCTTCCACCGAAAGTGTGAATTTGGAATTCATGTTCCTCCTGCCTCAACCTCCTGAGTGCTGGGGTGCACCATGCCTGGCTAAGAACCCTGCTTTAAATAACAAAAAGGCTTTGAAGAACTGTCAAGCAAACATCTGTATCAATCAGCTAAAAAAATGTGCTGTAGAATCGGTATTTTTGTGTTACTGGGAATTAATGCCAGGACCTCACAAATGCTAGGTGAGCTATATCGTAGGCCCTCAGTATAATTTTTAAATAAAGATTTATTAACTCTACTATACAAATTTAGCAGGCATTTTAATTAATGTTCAGAGAAATCACTCAGGCAGTATTTTTAACTACTACAGATCTATTTTTTTAAAGGCATCTTTTAAATACATACATTTTAAAAAGATAAAGTATAGCACACAATTCATTACTAGTATCAGTCTATTTTCTTAAAACATTACTCCTTACCATGTATGGTGTCGTAAATCGGGAACCACCCTGAGATGACAGTCGCAGCCTCACTGTACAGCAGGGGGTCGATGTCGATGTAGACTTTGCCAATGGCATCATTGGCACTGTAAGTGTCATGATCAAGAACAGTGATCTGTAGAGGTTCATCTTGCAAATCTTCATCGTCCACCTGAAATTAAATCTTACACGTTTAAAATCTTGCTTAAATGTACATATATACAAATGAAAAAGACAACTGAACTGAAAAAGAAATCCTATGGACAGATTAATCTGTGAGCACAAAGGCAGAGATGACCACCATGAGAACATGAGCAGGGTGAGTCTGCAGCTCAGGATGCACCCCACCTAGCATACACAAGGCCCCGGCTCCAATCCCTATCACGGAGGAAAATGAAAACTTTCTCAGAAAGGTTTTAAATGTTTAAATTTCTTAACTGCATAGCAAAATGCCCCAGTAAGACACTACATTTCCTGGCCTTTCTTGCAACTGGGAAGATGTAAATATAACCGTTACAGAGAGCTTGGTGGGGTGGGGAGAGCCTTCTTCAGGAAGGCTTGCTAGGCTGAGAAGTGTATGCTAACACTGCTCCCGTCTGTATGCCCCTTCATTCGAGCTTGTTCTGCAGCTGGACACTGATGTAATCCCTGGCACTCCAGCTGCTAACTTGGAACCTAAAGTCACCTGGAGTTACTTTCTTCCCATGTATGGAGGATGAAGAGAGAGAGAAGTAGTACGGGAGCTACCATGTAACTTGACATGCCTGGTACAACATTTCTTCTACATGAGAGAAAAACATCTATTTGGTTTAAGACCTCTATTTGAGTGTTCAAACATATATGAATGTAATTCACAACTGAAAATGGTTTTAAAAGAACTTGATAAGTAATGCCAACTATAAACACAAAGTCTAAGCACTTTTTATACCCTTGATACTATTACCAGAAGCACTAATCAAAACAGTGATTCACAACATCTTAAAGGAAAAGACTGGAGACTTTAGTTTCTAAAACTCACTAACAGTATAAAACCCCTTACTTCAGAAAAGTACAAATATATAATTTTTTATGTTTTTTAAAATTAGTTGCTTGGGTGTTCCTTATCCTTAAAAATTATCAGTACTGTATCATCAGAAAAAGGACATGTCATTTCCTAAAATATTCATTTCCTTAGTATCATAAAAATTAGTCTATCACAAAGCCTGCCTCCTCCTTCCACTCAAGTAACAATTATTATTACTATTTAACCATTTCTAGATTATGGAGGAGGAGCCATCAAAACAAAGCTATGCTGGGTGTGGTGGTACCTGCCTCAATCCCAGCACTAGGGAAACTGAGGGAAGAGGATTGAAAGTTGGAGGACAGTCTAAGCAATACAGTGAGTCCCTGCCTCAAAAGCAACCAAAAAAATTTAAATAAAGAGCTAAACAAGCATTCAAATGTTTTTGTAGGACAATGAAGATGTACTATGCAATCTGATTTCACCTGAAATCATTCAGTCAAACTATTCTGCTTTCTCTGACTAGGTCCATATTTTTACCTTGATAATGTAGTTAAAAATAACACTACAGATTGAAAATATGCAAAATATACAATGGTATTTGGAAATAGCTTTTTAAAATCAGTACATACACATAAAACAAAACTGAGAGTCAAAAGAGTTCATGAAAAAAAATCAATTGAACACACAAAAAAAGTGCCAACTTGAAACAAGCTTTCTGATTTCAAAACTCATCAAAATGATACAGTAATAGCATGAGGACAGACAAATCAGTGGAACAGAATGCAGCTGGGGAGAACCCAGGGTGCTGGAAAGGCCCCATCACTGGGAAAGGCATGGAATGGGGGTGGGGGAGAGATGTAGCAGGGATCCTCCAGGTAACCAGGAAGGACACCATTGTGTCTGGAAGGAAGATCACTGATGGACAGAGAAGGAAGTGCATGCAAGCTGTGGGAGGGGAAGAAGGAAACTGGACCTGGGTGAGGAGACGGAAAGCCCTCTCTCAGAGAAGATCTCCAAGGGTAGGTCATTTGAACGTAACCACCTCCCACCTCAACACCCTCCGCCCAGCCAGACTTTCCATACCATCACTCCAACTCTTACCCACTTCTGCTCAGCTCTGACCCCTCATCGCTACCGAGCCCCCCAACTCAATCACTGCTAACCCACAGCCACCCAGGCTAGAGGGCTGGTCCGTGCTTCCCACATGGTCCCTTCCATTGATTTCTGCCAAGGGTGCCAAGCCCAGACAGTGGGAAAAGCCTGGTCTCTGGCATATGCTAACACCCAAAGAAAACTGTAATAATGATGTAATATATTCAGATTCCTATTCTTAGCTGCATTACAATATACTATATTTTCTTAATGTAATTTTTTAATAACTCAATAATCTCAGGTAAGCAAAAAAAATTTTTTTAACTTTTTTTTTTTAGTGGTACTGGGTTTGAACTCAGGGCCTCATGCTTTCTAGACAGGTGTTCTACCACTTGAGACACTATGCAATCCCCCAAGAAGGAGGTATTTTAGGGTGTGGAAAAACTACTATTATTCTTGAAATAGAAGGTACTCATCACTCCTGGAGAAGAGGAGTCACACTCAAAAAATGTTGACATTTAAAAACTTACCTCAAATTTAAACCACTCTGAGTTCCACTGAGGATTGAGTGACTTGAGAAACACGTCTGTTTTAAAGGTGGTATTACCAAATTTCACCTAAAAACAAGTAAGAAACTGTTCAAATATAAATATCAAAAATATAAATAAAAGTTCATGTTAGCCAAGCAGTGAGAGGCGGCGGAACCCCAGACGGGTAGAAAAGACAAAGGAAGAGGTGTGGCCCTGTGCAGGGGTCACCCACACTTTGCTGACCAGCTCCCCAAGGCCTGGGCATTGGATGTACTCCAAGGAAACATCCTGCTCAGAGGGCAGAGCTCAGCGCTCCACTGCGCACCCTTGGGTCATTTTTCCGTAATGCCACCCAACTTCCACTAGAGACATGCGCCTTCCAACAGATTTCAAATATTCACTTTATCACTTAAGTTAAGCATATTCACTTGGACCTTGCTTTGGGGGCATCATTTGCTTTTTGGGAGGCAGATTTTCACAAAATGAAGGGCGGGGAAACAGCCGATTGCACAACAGTCTGAACATAACTGAAGATAACACAGGGCTAACTAAGTGCCTCTCCACATCAGCTGAACTGCGGAAACATGTCAACGTAGAAATTTGGATTCTGAAATTGATTTTCATTTTTTTTGTTATTTTTTTGGCCACAGTTATAAATCTGTGTAATAAATCTGCAAGCAAGGCAGGCTTCCTGTGTGGGTCCTTGTCTCAGCACAGAGGAAGGGAATCACAGTAGGCAGGTAGATGTGAGCATAGATGAAAGGCAACGATCTTGAGGGGGTAGAAGAGCAGAAACAAAATCAAAAGGCAAAGAAGACCAGCTGGGCTGGGAGTGGTAGTGCACATCTGTAATGTCAGCCTTGGGAAGCTGAGGCAGGAGGCTAGCCAGGGTTACATAGGGAGACCCTCTCTCAAAAAAGCAAAAGAAATTTAAAAGACCAGCTAACTGTCCTCTTACTGTCTCCACAATGAGATCTAGAGCCACAGCCCGCTATTATGACTTAGTGATATTTCCCTGCACGCTCCAACTGCCTCACACTTACTAGTTTTTAATCCTTTATCTGTGTGCACACAGTAATTATATTTCATGTTCTACGGCCAGGGACAATGACAGGAGTTGCATAAGGACCCCCTTACTTCACAGCCAGTCTTGGTTAGCAGTCATCGCAAAGACCAAAAACAGATAACTGAGGAAAAGAAGGAGAAGGAGCAGTGAGGCCCCAGGCTGCAAGTCCAGTAGTCAGCAGGCTAGGAGGAAAACAGCCCGGCTGCCTCCTCACCAGCCTCACCTTTCCTACATCCACCTAACCTTTGAACTCTTCCCCGTTCCTCCAGTGACCTCCACCAAGCAGTCAAGGACCTCAAAACGCACCACAGTTTCTGCACGTACTTCTCACAATACCTCTGCAGATGCCTGGTACACACCGGTTCAATCAGGCAATAGCTCTGATACCTGCTGATATTATTAACTAGGCCGGCCAAGAAATTTCTAAAAGCAAATCTCCAAAACTGCAATTACTCTTCTCTTCTGTATATTTTTCTAGCTACCTCACCATTCACTTTGAATTATCAGGTATGGTACCAACCTTTTGGTACCTAAGAGGAGATAGATTAAACAGTAGAAAAGATTTTTGACAGGAGGAGTGGCTTAAGTCACAGAGCACCTGCTTTGCAAGCACAAAGCCCTGAGTTCAAACCCCAACCCCACCAAAAAAAGAAAAACTAAACAGAATTATCTCTGTGAAATACATAATAAAAAATTTATTTAAAAAAAATTTTAAACTACATAACAGAAACTTCTTGCATGGTACTAGAATATCATAAAGTCAAAGATAAGTAAGAAACTGAGAAAAAGCCTTGGCCAAATAAGTCATACAGAACTAAGTCCCCAATTGCTTTTTCCATAAATATGTTTACATACAAAAAAAGGAGGTCCAAAATAAGATTTGTTGAAGTAGCTACCAACAAAATATTAGATTATTTTACTTTGCTTTGGTCAAAACAGCCCAGGAAAAGCAGTCGGTTCCCTTTCTACTAACAGCATCTAAATACAGTGACAGGACTTTTCTTCTTTTTTTTTTTTTTTTAATGTTTCAATATTTGAAAGTATTTATTTTTTTTAAGTATTCTTTTTTTTTAATTTTTATTTTATTCATATGCGCATACATTGTTTGGGTCATTTCTCCCCTCTTCCCCCCCCCAACCCCTCCCTGACCACCCCCTCCCTTCCCCCACCTTTCCCCTCGAGACCAGGCAGAAACTATTCTGCCCTTATCTCTAATTTTGTTGAAGAGAGAGTATAAGCAATAATAGGAAGGACCAAGGGTTTTTGCTAGTTGAGATAAGGATAGTTATACAGGGAGTTGACATGCACTGATTTCCTGTACATGTGTATTACCTTCTAAGTTAATTCTTCTCAAACTAATCTTTTCTCTAGTTCCTGGTCCCCTTCTCCTATTGGCCTCAGTTGCTTTAAAGTATCTGCTTTAGTTTCTCTGCGTTGAGGGCAACAAATGCTAGCTAGTTTTTTAGGTGTCTTACCTATCCTCTTATCTTCCTTGTGTGTTCTTGCTTTATCATCTAATCAAAGACCAATTCCCTTGTTGTGTTTGCCCTTGATCTAATGTCTGCATATGAGGAAGAACGTATGATTTTTGGTCTTTTGGGCCAGGCTAACCTCACTCAGAATGATGTTCTCCAATTCCATCCATTTATCTGCGAATGATAACATTTCATTCTTCTTCATGGCTACATAAAATTCCATTGTGTATAGATACCACATTTTCTTAATCCATTCATCAGTAGTGGGGCATCTTAGCTGTTTCCGTAACTTGGCTATTGTGAATAGTGCTGCAATAAACATGGGTGTGCAGGTGCCTCTGGAGTAACATGTGTCACTTTCTTTTGGGTTTATCTCCAAGAGTGGTATTACTGGATCAAATGGTAGATCAATGTCTAGCTTTTTAAGTAGCCTCCAAATTTTTTTCCAGAGTGGTTGTACTAGTTTACACTCCCACCAGCAGTGTAAGAGGGTTCCTTTTTCCCTACATCCTCGCCAACACCTGTTGTTAGTGGTGTTGCTAATGATGGCTATTCTAACAGGGGTGAGGTGGAATCTTAGTGCGGTTTTAATTTGCATTTCCTTTATTGGTAGGGATAGTGAGCATTTTTTCATGTGTTTTTTGGACATTTGAATTTCTTCTTTTGAGAAAGTTCTGTTTAGTTCATTTGCCCATTTCTTTATTGGTTCATTAATTTTGGGAGAATTTAGTTTTTTGAGTTCCCGATATATTCTGGTGATTAGTCCTTTGTCTGATGTGTAGCTGGCAAATATTTTCTCCCACTCTGTGGGTGCTCTCTTCAGTTTGGAGACCATTTCTTTTGTTGAGCAGAAGCTTTTTAGTTTTATGAAGTCCCATTTATCTATGCTATCTCTTAGTTGCTGTGCTGCTGGGGTTCCACTGAACCTATACCTATTAATTCCAGAGTATTTCCTACTCTTTCCTGTACCAACTTTAGAGTTTGGGGTCTGATATGAAGGTCCTTGATCCATTTAGGACTTTTCTTTAGTAGAGAATAAGCAACTTCGAAGAAAAGAAATTCAGTTGTTGGGTATGTTGACACAAACCCATAATCCCAGGTACTTGCGAGGCAGAGGCAGAAAGATTGAGGGGTCAAGGCCAGCCTGACCTACAGAGTGAATGTGAGACCTGCCTAAGCTACAGAATGATATCCTATCTCCAAAAAAAAAAAAAAAATTAATTTTTTACACCTCCTTTATGAACAAATCATGTGTTACAGAGAGCCCAAAATATGGGAGACATTCCATTAAATTACACAGATGTATGTGTCTGAAGAAGCAAACCTGACTTTTGTCTTATTTTGATCCTAAATACAGAAAATTTCAAAATCAATTACTGCTTTTATCTGGGAAATCTTGGGAGTATTGTACATGTGCCTTGTCTCTGAGTCTTTTTTTGTATTTTTTATTTTATCTTTTTTTAGACATGGAGTCTTGTTATGCAGCCCAGGCTGGCCTCAAATTTGCAATCCTCTGCCTCAGCCTCCAGTTCTCTGGGATTACAGGTATTCACCACCATGCCTGGCTCTGAGAGCCTTTTTGACTCCTCCTACCACTGGTGCATCCACAAGATGCCCCTTGGAGCAGAGTGGCAATGCCCCAAAGAAGAGGAATCTAAGAATTTAGCTTCAAGACTAATTTCTAAAGATTTCCAAGGAAGGAAGAGAAGGAAGGAGAGAGGGAGGGAGGGCCAACTGATCATGCTAGGTACAATAAAGAGCTCAAAGTCCTCAAACTGTATTAAACAAATAAAAAGCAAGATTTCAGAGACAAGGACAAAGGCTAGTGTGGATTCTGCCAATCTTGGGACGATTCTCCTCCAAGCAAAGGAGTAGTGCAGCTCATTCAGCCTTATTTAGCTCCAAGGAGACTTTATGTCAGCCTTACACCTCATTAGAGAACTCCAGGGATGTTAAGGACAAGCCCCCAGCAGAGTGAAGCAGCATTCCACTTCCCCACTCCTGACCTGGTCCACTTGAGAAAGTTACCGAACCTGTTGTGTAACCTGATCGTTCCTCTGAGAACTGAGGTGCTATGCAAGGAGAGAGAGCTAAGAAAGCACAACATTCATTTCTTTCCTCTGTCTGTTTCCTCAAAGGTTCCTGGATAAACACAAAATGACCACATGGTTTAGCCAGTGTGCAACATGAACATTAATACTGGGATAGATCCTCAATTCTTCCTTTGCACAGAGCCCCAGCTGCTCATCTCAGAGACGCTGCAAGAGAACCATCTTTGAGTAAGGCTTGGTCTTCAGGGCTCCCTCAACCTCACTCTCATACAGCCAGTACAACCTGGTCAGCACTTCAGCAGTTATTTAAACAACTTGGCTAAATCAGAGAAGCAGTAGAAATATCACAGCTGCACACATTTAAAAATGAAACTTGAAAATCCACTCCTGCCTTTGAATGGAAGACAAAGGCCTCTTCCTGGAGGACAGGTCCACGGTTTAGAGCTAGATATTATCATTTTTTTTCTTTGCAGCAAGCACATTCATAATGTATCA